TAACTCATCATGAGTAGCCTGAGCCCAGTCTTTCTTAATGGAGCCCACAACCTTGTGACAGGGACAACACTAGAATGGTTATACGGGCCTAGATGACCTATGAATCCTTTCTATAAATTGCACTATTTATTTAAAGTGATATTTCCCCATTAAGGTTTATAGACACCAATAGTGTATAATAATTAAGTCACTGCTGGGTTAATTTCACCCCTCTATAGAGGCCCAACACGAGGCTTATGTACTATTTAAGTTCTAGTTAGCACTTGAGAACCAACTTTATATCAAAAGTTTAAGTGGGACGTAAGTGATGTTCTGGCCTTGCGGTAAATTTCACCTGTAGTTCTTTTCATCTTCAGGGGACTTTACAGAGGTATATCAATATTCATGCCCTCTTTGGGAAGGGAAACTGAGGCAAAAAGGTTAAGTGACTTTTCCAGAGTCACAGAGTACTCCAGATCTGGAATTAGAACTCAGTTGTTCCTGAATTAGACAGACAATATTGTTCAAACAGTGCACCAGATTTTGGAAACCAACTATTTTCAACCGTTGTTTTGGTAGGTAAACATTTATAAAGCTCATGTTTTATGACAGTTTCTGAGATCCCATAAAATGAGCAGTCATAAGCTCAGGGGAGAGCATGGTGCAGTAGTCCCAGAGATAAGTACCACAGAGAAGGCATAGTGCAGAGTTCTTGTGCAGATGGAGGCTCAATCAACATTGTCCTACATCGTTAAAAGCCAAAAGTATAGAAACACTGCAGAAAGATTAGCACGAGATAAACACAATTACTGGAAAAGTCTGCCATTCCATAAGTACTAATTCGTAATTGAAAGAATAAAGTCATTGCGAGAATTTCTGCTGTCAGTTATGCCAGTGAAGCCATGGGCGTGCCTTTGTATTTACGCAGCCGTGAATGAGGACAGAATTGGTGTCACTCAGACCACTTTTCTTCCACGGCTCCTTTCCATTCCTGTGGAATGGGTTCTCCACTAAACAGAATCCTGAAGCTTCCAGTCTAAATCTATTGAAGGACTCTCTTGTGTTCGCTGCAGCTGGCTTAATCCACAGGCCACTCCAAAGTTCTCTGATTCTTAATGAAAAGAAGAACCTGGTAATGTGTATTTCAGTTTGCCCGGTAATTCATTTCTGTTTGTGCTCCCCAGCTCGCACATCTGCTCGGTACAATCCTCAACTTGGCCTAAAATCTCTCTGTTTCTGTCCCTGGTGAACGAGGCAGGACTGGAATTCACTATCCCTGCGTGTGAAGATCTGCCTACTGTGCCAAGGTACTTAGGAGTATTCTCGTGGACAGCAGTGCAATTCAGTGCTGTATATGTCGCTAGACCTTAGACCTTCTTTTTTCTGGTCATATGACACAAATGTAAATTAAGGAAGGAAGAATTTATATTGACCTGCCAAAGGCAGAAGACAATCTACAGCAGTTCTGGGTAGTAGATGAGACATAGCAACCTTTGGGTTTTTGCTTGCAACCTCAAACACACACTCAGGCGTAAAACTCACAGTCCGACTCTACAGCAGGACAGAGAGATCCCTAATTCACTTGTAAGTTTTCTAATGGCAAGGAACAGATGGATATATATTCCATTCTTATTCATGTGCAATGCCTCTCTGAAAGCAGGAGGAGACTTCTGATTCGGTACAAGTTCTGAAGGTAAGAAAAACAGCTCATCAGTAAAGATCTAGAAAGTAAAATTATAATTTTTCTAAAGGTGGGTTTTAATCAGGACTTCAAAGAAGAAAAAACCCTCTAAATGTGCTAGGTACAATGGCATTGATCCTCAAAGGTAGGTAGGTGTCTAAATAGATTGGAGCATTTGGACCATTGTGATGAAGCAGATACAACTCCTGAGACTTTTTGGGGAAAGACAGTTCTTTCTGAGCAATGGCAGGGCTACACAAATTCTCAGGCTTGCCTCTTCTTTTGAAAGTGCTTCAGTAACTCAGACATTCCACAGATAATCACTTGGCCCAATTTTACAATCCACTCTTCAAAAGGAGATTGGTTTCACATCTTATTGAAAGAAGCTCACCTATCAAGTTGCAATCTGATAGAGTTGACAGATTCCCCTCTTGCCTTTATAAGTCTGTCTCCTTTACAGGTCATATCTGCTGACAGGAAAGACAGCTCTCATTTTTATAAGGCATTGCTTGAGCCAAGCAAGCAGCCTGGCACTTCAATCCATCTCCCCATTCTTACCTGAAGCAGATAATTGCTCTCCTGCACAAACGACTAAAGAGCTCCACCAGACCCGTCCAGAGTACCAACACAGACATTTACTGCTAGGGATCATCACCCCCATTTCAGGCAGTATTTGACTATGAACCAGGTCAACATGCTAGCAATTACATTTGTGTGCTAAGGTGGCAATGTATCACCTTTGTGCATTTCCTGAAAAACTCAACTCTCCAGAACAAGTATTTTGGAATGAAGTGGAAATAGCAAAATATGTCAAAAGCAGCCTTACTCAGTCAGTATGTCTACACTGCACGTTTATTTCGAAATAAGTTATTCCAGAAGAAATACTCCGAAATAATTTATTTTGAAATCGCACATCTACACTATAGGTAAAAATGAGTCCGAGGCAGGCTTCCCTAATATGGATGTGCTACCTCGATTTAGAGCCCCAGGAGGCACTGGGGAGGAATAGCTATTTTGGAATAGGCGTTATTCCTCATGGAATGAGGTTTACAGAAGTCAGAATAAGCCGTCCGTTATTTCAAATTTATTTTGAAATAATGGAATTGCTGCGTAGATGCTCGCAGTGTTATTTTGGAATAATGGCCGTTATTCCGAAATAATGCTGCTGTGTAGACGCACCCTCAGAAACCCCTTTAAAAATGCCCATATTTTAGGGGCGTGGAAGTTAGGTCAAATTGTCCTCAGAGATGTCAATGATGCTAAGATTATCCTTACTGTTTACCTTGGCTGTGTCTACATTGGCACCCCTTTCCGGAAAAGGGATGCTAATGAGACACTTCGGAATTGCAAATCCGCGGGGGATTTAAATATCCCCCGCGGCATTTGCATTTACATGGCTGCCGCTTTTTTCCGGCTCTGGGTTTTTGCCGGAGAAAAGCACCAAGTAGGAATAAGGGATCTCCTGGAAAAGGGCTTATTTTCCAGAAAATCGCATCGACACTGGGAAAGGGCTTATTTTCTGGAAAATCGCGTCTAGGCTGGTGCTTTTCTCCGGCAAAAACCCCAAGCCGGAAAAAAGCGGCAGCCATGTAAATGCAAATGCCGCGGGGGATATTTAAATCTCCCGCAGATTTGCAATTCCGAAGTGTCTCATTAGCATCCCTTTTCCGGAAAGGGATGCCAATGTAGACAGAGCCCCTGGGTTAGGGGTGTTTTGGAGGATGGTGATGGTGTTTCAGTCTCTGAATTGGCCATTAAGGCCAGATTCTGCCTGCATGCCCTGTGTGTGGAAGGTGTGTGTGTCCTGTAGAAGCTGATAAGAGCTTTGTGTGTGAAGGGTTAGAAAAGCAGCTTTCAAATTTGGGCTCTTGTACCACGTAAGGACCACACAGCTTCCTGCTGCTCCATAGACTGACCATTATGAGAGACCAAGCTGTGGAGTTTGGTTCTTTGAAAGGGAGATAGGGTCTCTAAGACTAGGGTTTGTTTATACTTGAAAGTTAACAGCAATGGAGGGTATGTCTACACTGCAAAGTTAATTCGAGATAACATCCGTTATTTCGAATTAACTTTAATAGCGTCTATACATGCAAACTGCTATTTCAAAATTAATTCGAAGTAGCAGAGCACTTAATTCAAATTTGGTAAACCTCATTCTATGAGGAGTAATGCCAAATTTGAAATAGCTATTTCAAATGAAGTGCTGTGTAGACACTTAAATTCGAAATAGGGGGCCTCCAGCCCTTCCCAGGGAGCCCTGGTGGCCGCTCTGGGCACAACCAGGAAAACTTTCCCCCCAGCCCTGAAGCCATTAAAGGGGTAGACTCTGGCCACAGTGCCTGTGCCAGCTCAAGCTTGCCAGCCCAGAGCCAGCAGTGGCCACCGGGGCCCCTGATCCAGTGGCCCCAAAACATGGGCCAGAAAGCCACTGGCAGCTAGCCCTCCACCCTGCCAGCCCTCCACCGCTCTCCAGGAGCAGTTGCCAGCTCCCAGGAGCCTGACAGGGGCTGGAGAAGGTGGGCGTCTTCCTGGTTCAGGGTGGAGATCATGGACATTATTCAGGTTTGTGGGGGGGTGCCCCCAACAACCATGATCTCCACACTAGATGGAGGAATGTGACCGTCTATGGCAGGGTAGCTGCCAGCCTGGCCACCCAAGGACACATCCAAACCCCAGGAGCAAGTTTGGATGAAAACCAAGGAGCTGCGGCAGACCTATGCCAGGGCCACAGGGGGCAGCTTCCAAACAGGGGCAGCCCCAGACATTGCCCTAGGGATGATGAAGCCCCTGCACCTGCAGTGCTGGGAGACAGGTGGGCCAGCAAGGCCCCCAACCCTGAGCTTCTCCTCCCTCTTCCTCCCCTTGCCTCCCCCTTCCAGCTCCCTCCTCCCTGCTTTACCCCTCCCCTCTCCCATCAGGAAGGGGGGGTTAGAGAAGAGTAAGTGAAAGGACATGAGGGTGGTGAAGCACAAGTCTCCAGCAGGGCACATCAGGGAGATTTTAATTGTCCTCCAGGTGGAGGCTCTCCGCAAGTGCAGCCAGGCTGATGGCAATGACCCCACGAGATGCACCGGTGTGCCCAGGGGCAGCTCTGGCTCCATGTGGCCGAGTGCTGTGGTGTCCCGAGTGCGGGCACTCAGGGCACTTCAAGACAGGACTGCTTTGCTGTCCCTCATCGAGGTAGACAAACAAGCGGGGAACCCTGAAAACTGTCTCTCCAGGGTGGGGGTAGGGTCCCTTTAAGCACGGAGCTCAGTTAGTCTCAAGCAGCAGCCCCACACACTAAGTCCTAACCTGATGCCCTGCCGGCACTGGTTCTGGCCAGCCTTAACTTTGGTTCAGGGTCCACTCAGTGTGGACGCACTATTTCGAAATAGCAAAACGCTATTTCGAAATAGTTTTTGTGTGCAGATGCGTTAATTCGCATTAGCTTAATTCAAATTAACTATTTTGAATTAAGTTAATTTGAAATAGCGCTGTAGTGTAGACATACCCTAAGGTAGGATGTACATTTAAACTACAATAGCTATTTCTGGATAACTCCATGTTCAAGCACTCTTGTTCCTGTTTAGCTTACCCCATTTTCAAAGTGACCCACAGACTGTGAAGAGCTTCAAAAGGATCTCACGAAACTCAGTGATTGGGCAACAAAATGGCAAATTAATTTTAATGTTGATAAGTGCAAAGTAATGGAAAAAATAATCCCAACTACACATACAAAATATGTGAACTAATTTAGCTATTGCCACTCGAGAGAGATCTTGGAGTCATTGTGGATAGTTCTCTGAAAACATCTACTCAATGTGCAATAACAGTCAAAAAAAGCAAACAATGTTAGGAATCATCAAAAAAGGGATAGAGAGAATAAAACAGAGAATATCTTATTGCCTTTATGTAAATCCATGATATGTTCACATCTTGAATACTGCATACAGATGTGGTCACCTCATCTCAAAAAAGATATATTGGCATTGGAAAAGGTTCAGAAAAGGCAACAAAAATTACTAGGGTTTTGGAATGAGTGCCATAAAACAGACTGGGACTTTTTAGTTTAGAAAAGAGGAGTCTAAAGGGAGGATATGATAGAAGTCTATAAAATAATGACAAGTCTGGAGAAAGTGAATAAGGAGAAGTTATAATTTTGTTCTCATAACATAGGAACTGAGGTCACCAAATGAAATTAGTAGGTAGGAGGTGTAAAACAAACAAAAGGAGGTTTTTCTTCACACAGCACACAGCCAACCTGTGGAACTCCTTGCCAGAGGATGTTGTGAAGACCAGAACTTTAACAGGGTTCAAAAAAGAACTAGAGAAATTCATGGAGGTTAGGTTCATCAATACTTATTAACCAGGATGGGTAGGAATGGTGTTCCTAGCCTCTGTTTGTCAGAGGCTGGAAAAGTGGATGACAGGAGAAGAATCACTTGATGATTCCCTGTTCTGTTCACTCCCTCTGGGGCATCTGGCATTGGCCACTGTCGGAAGACGGGCTACTGAGCTAGATAGACCTTTGGTCTGACCCAGTATGGCCATTCTTATATTCTCATGTTCTTAAAACCACTTAGCCTCAGAATCTTGTTTAGTGTCTCATCACATCTTCCTAACACAGAGCTCTCCATCCCATTGCAGAGATAGCAGATCCCAACCCCAGAGGACCATTCCACAGAGCAAAAAGGTGTAGATGACAAACATTTGCAAAAAATAAAATAATGTAGGCGTTGTATCTGCCAAGTGGCCTTACACTTCCCCAAGGCTGTGAGAAAGATGGAGGTAAAATAGGCGGTTCTGAATAGCAGAAAATAGGTGTATCAATGTTACACAGAAAATCAGTCCTAATCATCTGTTACAGCACTCGGTTCTCCTACTGTATCCCATGTTTGTCTCATGCCAATTATTAGAAAAGTTGGAAACGAGAAAAGGGGACTAAAGGAAAACATTCAAATTAGGGAGAGTTGTTGTCTAGTGATTAAAACATGAAACTGATAGACAGCACTTCTGAGTCTATTCCCACTTTGGCCTCTCACTAGTTGGGTGACCTTGAGCACCCTTCTCTGTGGCTCAGTTACCCCTCCATAAAAGGGGCTACAAATATTTACCTCCAATATCTCTTGGGGGCATCGTGAGGCATAATTAATTCATCTTCCTAAAGCATTTTAAGCTCCTCAGATGAATTAGGCTGCAAAAGTAATAATTTCCCAATTAGAAAAGGAATGTAAAAGAATCATCTACTGATCGTTTTCTAATTGTACAGACTTGTTTTCTCTTGTATTTTCTGTCATACTGCCCTGCCTTTCAGAATTACATAGTGTTGATCTGCTTTTGCATCTTGTAGTGAAATATGGCTGCTGAGCCAAAAGATGAAGCCCAAACTCCTGGACTGAAACTTCCCAAGCTTAGTGTTAAGCATATACCCATCAGCGGGGACAGAAGAAGCCAGGAGAGTGCTATGCTGCCAAGTCTTAGGAAGGATGCTCAATGGAAAGAAACATTCTATGAGAAGGTGCAGCAGAGAGCACTGAACCTGCAGAGAGAGAAAGTGGAAAAGATTCATGTGCGTAAGGCAGAGGAGGAAAAGGTACAAAAGAAAGATCCTCTGGACTGGCTGTCTCAGGAATGGCTCAGTGAAGAGCAGATGACAAGGGATACCCGCGCCTATTTGCTCGACAAACTCTTACCCACATTAGTCCCAGGAGTAGAAAAATTGTTAATGGAAGTGGAAAGAAAAAAGGTGCTTGACACAGACCGAGATCCACCCAAGTTTGATCCCATTAATTTCCTAGGAGAATATCTGATGAGGCATAACCCTCAGTTTGAAACTTCTGCAAAATCAGGGCCCTACAAGAGAGGGATGAAGGCTGTCATGGAGGAGTTGAAAACTCAGGTGCCTGGTACGGCATTCAACAGGTGAGTGAGTTTTAACTGTGCTTGCTTTCAGTATATCCTTACGGTAGCTCTGTATTCCTTTTTACAAAAAGCAGTTCATTCCTGCATTAGGTGCAGCGAGTGTAATCTGGGATGACAAAAGTGAATCTTGAAGCACCAAATGAATCCCATGGAGTTTGGTGCCATGGCCAGTGATCTCTCCTGCAAATCTTGGAAGAAAGAGAAATGCCAGCACATGGCAGACTAGCTGAGCAATGGCTCATGCAGACTTAGGGCCGTACCCCTACTGTGTCTATAGTGCTTGCTTTGACACTATAAACATGGAATGAAGACACTGTATAACCTTTCTGGACATTTTTAGCACCAGTATTAATATAGTCCTGACACTCCTGAGGCCCTTTCCCCATATGTCCCTCCAAAGATCATGAACAGCAGCCAAGGTTTCCTCTGCTGGCCATATTTAAAATTTCTCTGGACTGGACCACGGTTAGAGCTGTCTTGGTTCTCCTGGGGTACTCGCTCCTGGAAAAGGTTTGCTATAATCCCTCTGCAGCTAGGTTCATTTCAGATCACTTAACCTTTATCGTTTTAGACTTTCTTTATGTCAGCACTTCCCTTTGGATCCTTATTGCCAATCCTTAATTAACAGATGAGCTGGAATTCTCTGCACAGTTTGGCCCAGAATTATTTAATTACTGTATTTTTTCTATAGCATATCACAACATGTTAGAATTACAAAATTTAGTACATTGCATTAATAAATAATCCATTCATTTCAATTTGTCAATTCAGAAAAATATACAAGTGAACATCTGTATTTACGAAAGGCATGAGAGAGGGTAGCTGGATTTGTACAGCACTTTCATCTATTTACATAAAACTGGTTTCAAGATTTGTGTGTCAGGAATCAGGGAAAGAAGATGTTGATATAAAATGTCTCATGCCTAAACACAAATTAAAATAATGAAAGTTCCCAATATCTAAGGATACCTCTACACAGTAATGTGTACCTCAAAATAAGCTACTCAATTTGAGTTACCCAAACTGTGTAGCTTATTTCAAAATAGCTTATTTTGAAATTTGGTGCTGTCTACACAGCACTCATTTTGAAATAAATTGCTATTCTAGTGTCTTCGTTAATACTCATGCAATGAGGTTTACAGGAAGCTGGAATAAGAAGCCAGTTATTTCGAATGCATTTCGAAATAACGGGCGTGCTGTTAAGATGCACAGAACGCTATTTTGGGATAATAGACATTATCCCAAAATAGCACCTCTGTGTAGATGTACCTTAAATAATAAAGGAATATGGTTAAATCTCTTTCATATTTCTAATGCATCTGCTATTGTAGTACATAGACACCTATATAACCTATATCTGATGCAATTAAAGCAGCAATAAAATGAATCTCATGAAATGCACTTAGCTTTATTTACCTGCCTTTAAGTGTTGTGAGGCTGGTGATCATCACATGAGAGCTCTGCATTGTGGTTTGCCACTTAGTATGAGATTTATGATTTCATGTTTTACCTTTGCTGTGGGTGGTTATTCCAGTTTCAGATTTGAGAGATAAGTTCTCCATGTGGCAGATACGGAAGAGTCAGAGTTGATTTTTGGGAAATTTGTCTGAGGAGTTGTAGCAGTCAGCCTTTCCGTGGCTGGCAGTGGCAGGGGATTTACACAGGTTTGGTAGTATCATGGGATTTATGTTTGCATTGTCTTAGGATTTCCATATTTGTGTCTGGCTCAATCACAGGATTTCTATAGTGTTCTTAAACCTGGGGGTCTCCATCGCTTCACTGCAGGCTTTTGCTTCCTCGTGCGCTGATGCGAAATACTTGCCATGAATCCTTGGCTTTCCAAATAAAGTTGTTCTCATAAGAACAACTTAGGAGAGGAATGACAAAGGGAGCTCAGAATGCCTCATGTAAGCACCCAAAGTTCGGGGTTGGGGGTGGAAATCTGGCTCCATTGAAATCAATGGAAGTTTTGCCATTAACTCACCTCAGTTGCTTATCCAAAATGTACCCTCCCTAGCTGAACCTTCTCAGAATTCTTCCATCCTCACTTTCATTGTGATCCTGTTGGGGGGCAGGGAATATATGGCAGTGGGGCGGGAGAAATTCCTTCTTATTTCAACCAGCTCACACCTGAATTAATGCCTGGGTTTGGTCAAAGGAGGGCAATGCTTCCATCTGATTCAGCCAGCCCATTGTGGGAGAACAGGGGCTGCCTTCCTTCACAAACACACTTCATTGGGCAGGCAATCACCCTAAAGGCAGCTCTGCTTATCAAATGCATTCCTAACACGGAGTCTCCCAGAATCCCATTAAAAGTAGGGCTGTGAAGCGCAGAGCCCCAACTAAAACCACAAGTATTGTGGAAGGTCTAAGAAGGTTAACTTTCACAAGACTCTTTTTCATTCATTCATATGCCTATCACATACCCGGTAACTGAGTGATTGATTAAGAAGCCTCCATGATAAATGATCATGAATTAACAGTGACCTAGTGATAAATATTACTGTAGTCAGTGTTCTGTTATAATATGTTAAATAGTCATTGTTTATTAATTAAAATGGAATTGTTTTATAATTGCAAACCTTGTTCCTAAACTATAGTGAGAGGTCAGGGACCGTATCAGATTATTATCACTGCTTATGTGAAAAAACAGTCTAGCAGAAAAAGAGAAATAATCTGGTTAGATTACAGTCCTGGGGCCAGCCTTTGCTCTCAGTGACAAGAGACAAATAGGAGTAGGTCCACTTACTCCTGCTGTCTATAGACTGGTATAACAGAGAGCAATATCTGGCTCCGTAAATGCACAGTACGCGGGTGAAAGGAACAGTTCAGAGCTCTCAATATAGAGACAAAGACGCTTTAACAATCCATTGAAATGGGAATAAAACACTCCAGACCCGCTCCCCCATAGCTGAGCTATTACCTTGTAGCTATAGGCATAATGAATGCCATTCATGGCGTTGTTTTCCTGAAGACTTGCAGTTTAATAAAATCCTTTTATCCTGGGTGCAAAATGGAGGACTAGCCTTCCTGCAGGTTAGAGAAGGAAAACAGTTATAATCAAGAAGAAAGAGAGGCATTTCTGGTCTAGACTTGCAAACTCTGTGTTCAACGAAAAACAGAATCATGGTCGGTAAATTATCCCCATCCTAAAGCAGTGAGGATTTTCTTGTGCAATAGTATTTTGGAAAAATAATTAAACATAGTTCATTGCCAATGCAATTTTACATTAAATGGCACGTAGTTGCTGAGACAAATGCATAATAATGCAATTTTGTTGTTAAATTAAGTGAAGCAAAATTATACCCTTCCGCTCCTGCTAGAATGTTCAGCAGAAAAATTGAAGAACATCTCCAAAATTAATTACTAGCACCATTCTAGAAACATGTATTCATTGAGGGTGGATTTTCCCCTTTGTGTAGGTCTGCTAGCCAGAAGAGTTGCTAATTTTATCTCTAAATGTCTAACTGTTCCTAGGCTCAGAAAGAGTTCCATGCACCTTCCACAAAAGTCCCTCTCTGTAGTCATGTACTTGATACGCAAACTCTGTATTCAAATTCTTAGTTACGCCTTCAGAAGAAACATCCACTTCATGACAAATGTTCTCACTTTCCAAGAGCTGCCTCATGAAGACATAGATTGAGAGTGTTTCTATAGAGTTTGACTGGTAGTTTGTTGCTCAAAAGATCCACTAATTCAATGGGGGGAAAGACCTCATGTACTAGAAAGTATAAGAATTACAGTGTGCCATTTTCTTCTGTTTCCCGCTGTTCTTCAAGAGAGGTCTAAACAAGTTTAGCTAAGTTAACTTTGTGAACCATATGCCCATGCCCTCCAGGCTAGCCAGGATGAAGTCTGAGGTAAAGAAAAATCGTGAGCAGCGAGAGCAGGTGGAGCAAATCAAGGCTCAGGTGGCAGAGATGCGAAAGGAGGCCCTGGCAGTGCAGTTCAAAGAATGGACATTGGATGTCAGTGGAAGGCTACCGCTTGCACTGGTAACTAGGGCAGATATTCATAGAAACTCTGCTGTGCTCACACCTGGGAAGAGAAGAATGGAGGCTACTGTGGAAGTGAGGCTGCTATATTAGATAGCAGGAAGGGAGAGGAAAGATGGTCCAGTAGTTAGGCACTAGCGGTACTAGCCTAAAATCCATGAGTCCTGCCTCCAAGTCCCTGATCTGCCTCTGACTTTCTGTGTCACCTAGGGCAAGTGACTCAGGCCATGTCTTCTCTTGCCATGCTGGAGATTGATCTTCTGGCATTTGATTTAACAGGTCTAGTTGAGACTCGCTAAACTGAACGCTAAGGGCAGCCCAGTCTGCGCTGGTACTCCTGACAGTCACAAGGAGTAAGGGAAACTAACAGGAGTGTTTGTTCCCATCAGCTTCCCTCTGTAAAAAGGCACCGAGCTTGGCTTAAGGCAGGGTTGTGTGGGCCTGCATACTGCCGTATTTACCTGTACCTCTGCAGGTACAGGGGATCGCAGCTTCCATTGGCTGCAGATCACCGTTCCTGGCCCATGGGAGCTGCAATCACCCGTGCAGGCAAATATAGTGGCAGCGGCCCACCTGGTGAACCACTATCATTTTATTGCCCACCCCGGGCTTAAGGTAAGCTGACTAGAGCTACATAGTCTACGTAGCTGAGGTTGTATACCTTAACCCGACCTTCCAGGTCTAGTGTAGGCCTGGCCTTAGTCTCTCTGGCTACGTCTACACTGGCCCCTTTTCCGGAAGGGGCATGTAAATTTCACTAGTCGTCGTAGGGAAATCCGCGGGGGATTTAAATATCCCCCGCGGCATTTAAATAAAAATGTCCGCCGCTTTTTTCCGGCTTTTAAAAAAGCCGGAAAAGAGCGTCTAGACTGGCCCCGATCCTCCGGAAAAAGTGCCCTTTTCCGGAGGCTCTTATTCCTACTTTGAAGTAGGGGTGACCCCTTGTGGACAGGGACTCCTGCCAGAGAAGCCTCGCTTAGCCCCCCATGCTGCTGCCTCAAGCAGTACCGCGGAGACAGTGCTAGGAAGAACTGGCTCTTAAGCCAGCTTCCCCCAGCACCAGCTCCTGCTTCCCCCCTTGCTGCCTCTGATATAGAAGCGGATGGAGGGGATGCGAGTAGTCGGCTCAACTACCCAATAAGTCAGGGCTACTCAACATGCACCCCGCAGCCCATTTGTTTGCAGCGCCCATGGGTGGGAGCCAAAACAAAAAAAGGAGCCAATATAATGGTCTTCTGCTGATATGTGTTTTAGTAGTTAAATTCCTGGACTGTCATGGCTCATTAAAAGTGGTGGGGAAATCTGGTAAATGTTGCATTTTATTAATATCAGTAGAACTGACTTAAATGGGGCCTGTGTGTTGTGTACTCTTGCCTTAATCTTTGTATTCATGCCCATCAGTGTGAAAGAAGCTATTTGCATATGTTTGCATATATATTTGCATGTATATGCAACCACACCTAAGCTGCAGCCCTTGGCATGTGCTGTGAGTATCATTGTGGCCCCTGGGGCATCCAAAGTTGACTAGCCCTGCAATAAATCTAGGCTTATTGACTAATCGACTACTTTTACATCCCTAGTTTTGAGGGTAAATCCATTATTGTGAAGTCCACACATGCTACCATAAGGGAGCCTAGATAAGTGCCCAAGATAGTTTTACATGTCTGAGCACTGGGTCTACTCCTGACAGCTGGTCACAACTCAAAATCCGTCTCAAAAGGCACTGGGTAGTTCACTCAGATCCTGTCTTTTCAGGGCCACCATTATCCCCATTGTCCTCCTCAGACCCAAGCCCTTGACTCTCTGTTTGAGAAGATGAGACTTGAAGCCATCACAATGGACCAGTCTGGGCAGGGTGTTGGTACAAACACCTTCCATTGATGGCAAATAAGTCACCTGTGTAACTTCCCACTAGCTTTATGGGCTGAACAGGGCACATAATACAGACATGGCCTGAATTTCAGCTGGTGGTGGGAGACCAGGGGCTATTCTAACATCACTAGGGCAATCTAGTGTTTAGACATTTGGGAGGGAGGGGGACAACTTGAGATCACAGGGCTCTGTGGATAGCCTGTGAAGCAATCATCCTTTTTAGCACCCGTAGCACATTGTGTTGCCATACAGATTTGAGCAGCCCTGGGCAAAAATAAAGCAGGAAGAAAAGAAATGGCAAGACATTTCTGAACATCCCATTGCTAGAGAGCAGTTGTATCTAAATCTGTTCATAATGATCGGATGGCTATAACCCGGGCCAGCGTGCCAATGCAGGGTAAGTCATTGCCCATTTCCTGTTCAGGCATGGGAGAGACAGTAAAACCAGAGCAGCTTTGTGTTTAGAAAGGAATGGAGATGAGCAAAGAGTCATTCCATGAATCAGGCTTTTAATTGTTGTTTTGATTTGTAGGTTCAGAGTGCCCTGCGGTCGTTTCTGGATGTTTCTGCTCCTTTGGGAGCAGGGCCAGGTAAGGTCACAAGTGTTTTCTGTGGTTTTATTTCCCTTGGTCTGACTTGTGGCGCAGAATGGGAGCAAAAGAAAGCAGGCGTGAAATCTGTACAGACAGCCCTGACACATTGGCCATAATACTCGCTTGCAAGACTTCAAGTGGGGAAGGAAGGGCAGAGGGCAAAACATTATGTTGACTTGGTGTCGATTTTTTTCATACAAGTCTGTAAAAATAACACCTCAGCTTGTTCCCCCCCAGGTCAGCACGAAACCTGAGTAAAGGTAGGTGGGATAGATAGAGTGTCTATCTAGCGAGGAATCCTCTCCCCATCTGGAGGGGTCTCCTGGTGCAGATGTGCACCATGCCTCAGCTATGCCTACCACCCAGGGGCTACAGAAGCGGCTGCCGCCGCTGTGGCCATACAGATTCTATTCTGTGTCATGTTCCTAACACTCCCCACGTCCGCCCCCACCACAGGCCCCTCTGCCACGTTGTTGCAGGATGAAAAGGCAGGCGGAGTTCCTCTCCATGGCCTCTCTGTCCTATGGCTGGCCCCAATCACGTGGACCCGCACCAGTTCTGCTCCATGTCTGTGGAAATGGGGGGAAACATGGAGCATTTGGCCTAGTCATTTTAGACTAATCTACTATGGGCCTCTCTAGTTGCCAGTAACAGACTCCGATTCCCTCTGTGCATAATCCAAGTCTGACAGTGACAAGTAGCTTGTCCCGCCTCCCTTTCCCCCAGAGTAGCCAAACCTGTTTCCCATGTGTGCATGGCAAGCAGCTGATGATCCCTCAGCACAAATCTCCTTTCCTACTAGGACCGTACTTGGTGTGCTTAGGGGAGGTTAAAAACAGAAGCAAGGCAGATCTGTCACCTTCCAAGGCCTGTGGGGAAACCCTGACATGTGCCTGAGGATTCCACGAAAAGGATTCTCATCTTTGCTAGCCACTTCCTCTTGCCAGTCAGAGGAATGCCAGTGACGTAGGATGAGGCAGGGCCCACATACCAGAGCTCTCAGCACTGCATGTCCTCTTTATGGCTTCCGCTCGACTTAATTTAATCATGATGATTGAATAGAGAGAGCTAGAAATGTTGACGTGTGAAGAGTGTTGTCAGACCTTTAAAATAAATAGTGGTATAATGATCATCAGTAACAACCAATCTGTCTTCGTTGGAAGATGTAAGGCTGCTCAGGGTACTTGAAAGCACACTGCAGTTCTTTATTCAGAGCTTGTCTTTCCTGATCCCTGTTTACGTTAGAAATCCGTGCCCTGAGCATTCAGCTTATACCAGTAGCAGACAGTCGGAATGGTAAACCAGCCCTCAGGTGCTACTGTGGTACCAATGGGGACACCAGTACGCTAAGGGAAGAAGGAAGTTGGCCAGTTGTTTACAGACATTCTGGACACTACTGGCAGTGTTTTGCTCACAGCCCTGCTGTTTCCTGGTGTATTTCGTTTAAGAGAGTGCGGTGCACTAAGTGAGCATTAAGCCATGTTTTACATGTCTATAAAGCTAATGTGGAACTTATGGACGTCTTAAGGGGGCAAGAAATGTATAGGTTCCATTGAGTGTGTTCTCAGTATTCCTAGTGCTCTATTCACCATCTTGTAGAAGCAAGAATAACAGAATAATAATCCCAAAGGAAGTAGTGTTTCTTCTTTCAAGACTTCCCATGCAAACCCTTGGCCTTTCTTAGCTGCATGACGTGGCTCTGACCGGCCAAAAGGTGGCTTCAGAGTTTGTAAAATCAGCGGGAATGTCTCCATATGGTGGCTACACTAAAAGTCTTGTTTTCAGAATCCTTGCCGGTTATTCCAAAGTCATGCCAGAGCTGCAAGGAATCTGACCGCTGGTTCCCAACATGTAAGGGAACTATCCCCATTCATCACCTCCCAAACACTTTCTGCCCTTGCATCAGCTGGTGTAGCTCTCGTTGAGCTCCCTGTGATTTACAGCTCTTTGTCATTCTTGGCCGTATAGCCTTGTCTGCACCAGCCAGCATGGCTGGCCTTTGAGATGGGAACCAGGGGGGCTCAGCAATGGAAAGACACTGACTCAGCCTGTATTCATATAGCCGGAAAGTACACTACTAATTCGGAATGAGAGCTGAACATGCAGGGTAGATGCAGGTACTTCAGTTTCCTGCCACTCCCTACCAGAGGCCAGAGTACCTCTAGGTAGAAAGACAATACTGCACAAATGCAGCTGCCTGTTTCCTGTCTAATCTCCGCTCTTTCTCCACTAGAGATCTATGGCAGGAAGCTGGAAACCCTCGATACACTGGGAAAAAAAGTGAATGAGGAAGAGTTTAGGGAGGTGAGAAACCCAATAACTGCACCTGAGTCCGAATTCTGTTCCTGTTATTGAGGCCTTGTAGGAGTATTTCCTCCCCTGGTGGGTGCTGACAATAGAAGATGAAAGCCTTCTCCCCAGTCCTTGGCTGTGACTCTGGCAATGTTAGGCCATCCCATGGTTCCGGGTTGCCATTATTATCTTCTTATATTCACATACACATCCCTATCTTGTAGACCTACCTCATCACCCCGTAGGTTGAAACATGTCGCTTCCTCCAGAGTTGCTGCCTGGGGTGGCTCTATGGATTAATGATCAGGGATATTTGAAAAACAATGTTGTTAACACCTGGTTCCTTCTTAATGTGCATGAGGGCACCACCTGAGCCATGCTGCAAGCAGCTGAGTTTCAAATCACTGATGAATTCAGATTTTGCATCAGCAATGTACAGAGACCTCCTCCCAGTGTAACTAGCATTCTAATGCAATTGGTATGGTCCCCCCAGCACTGCCCTGCTGGTGGGAATTCTGTTAACCAGGCTACGTCTAAACTACAATACTCTTGCAGAAGAGAAAATGCAAATGGAGCGCTCATTTGCATATGTTGCACTTTCATTTGCATTTCCTCTTCCTTTCCCTTTTCTGCAAGAGATTTTTTTCCCAAAAAAAGTGCTGTGTAGATGGTGCCTTTTTGAGCAAAAACCCCTTTTTGCTCAAGAGTTGTTTTTCCTCAAAAAGAACAGCTCTTGCACAAAAGGGGGTTTTTGCGCAAAAAGGCACCATCTATGCAGGGATTTTTTGGGCAAAAACCTCTTGTGCAAAAGGGAAAGGAAGAGGAAATGCAAAAGAGAGCACGATATATACAAATGAGCGCTCCATTTGCATTTGCTCTTCCGCAAGAGGATCATAGTTTAGACATAGCTCCAAAGTGCAGGACAACAGAAGCTAAGCGGGGAAGAACAGCATTACTATTGTTGCCCACAGAGAGAGTATATTTTGCCATCTTGGCATTTTGGTTTAAAATCCATGCCAGGGAGCCTATGAAACGTAAGATAAGTGCTTGGTTAATATTGCTTAAGTTTGTTGCAACAGGGAGCCTATGAAACGTAAGATAAGTGCTTGGTTCCTGTTGCAACAAACTTAAGCAATATTGACTCTTCTCACAGCATGTCGCCCATGTGACACAAGGATTCAGTGGGTCTAGGCTGCTCCCAGGCATCTGTGGGGAACTAGGGTAGTAGTCCATTATCATAGCAACCAAAGGATCTTAATGGATCAGCCCTGCCTCCTTGTCCTCTTACCCCTAACCCCTCTGTACCATGAGTGGGTTTTTTCTAAATCAGCTTAATTCAAGGAAGCATCCCCACTGTTTCCTATTTCGTGCAGGTGCTGGAGACTGTGTGGGTGTGAGCATGTGAGCCTGAACATGTGTGTGCTTGTGAACAGACAAGCATGTGTGTCAGCAAATAGGGGAATGCCCGAGGCTGAGCAATGGTCAGTGTCTCTCGGGCATCTTTGAAGTGTTACAGTGACAAAGCTATAAGAAGGTAGTAAATCCAGCCCTCCCTCTCACTCCATCTTCCAGATTGTCAGTCTTTGTGACTGCTACCTGCTCTGGTAACAGGCATGCAAATGGGCAGCTTTCCTAGTAAGTCTCTGTATCCCTGTTCTAACTTGTCCTATAACTGCCAAAGGAAGGTGGAAGACAAAAGAAGATTTAACTAATCTGAAGAAAATGCTACTAAAACTTTAAAAATCGGGATACAAATGTATGGTTATGATTTGTGTTCTTATTTGTTTAATACCCTTGTGCATCCAGAATTAAGTGTGCTCTTTATTAAACCAAAAGTCACTCAGGCCATTGGTTGGTTGTATGTGTAGGTCACTGCCCCATGACATAAATTTAAAGCATGCTGTCTGAAGGGGATTACTATGCACTCCAATGCATCCACATTAACTCTGCTACTAATGGTGCTCTTAATCTGCCTGAGCAGTTCCCAATCAGTGAGAACAGAATACATAACAAGTGCTGTTGCCTGGTGGTTAAAGAATAATAGACAAAACTGGCTTGTGTTGTGGTCTTGGTCAAGTCATTTAAGATCATACTTTCTAAAATGTCTAATTTATGTTGTAAATTGGATACCCAAAATGGTGGGAGAGTTGAAGATTTACCTTAGACCCGTGCCTCACATTACCTATTGGTATCGTGAGAATAAGTACTACTTCCTTTTGTTCGTGTGAGGCTTAGGAGATTGTTTGTTAAGGGCTTCATTTTGCTCAGATGAAAGGGACTTCAAAAACCTTGAACATGATGAGTCACAAAATAGCACACCAAAGGAATAGCATTCTATGGGCCAAATAACCTGGTGACCGGCAATTGTATGTGCCATCTCTTAGCCTCGCCTGTAGTTGAAGAAGCTGTCCCTATTCCACTGTGCTCAGACTTCTAAGATCTACCAAAATAGAAAAGAATTCACTCTAGGAAACAAATGACAAATAAAAAATAACAAAAATGTATAGTTAAGAAACATAACGTGTGTCTAACTCAAAGTCAAAGAATGTAGTTAAGGATTTCATTTTATCACGTTTCCCTTCGTTAACTTAAAAACAATCAGATCAGTTAATGCTAAATTTACTGGAAAAACTCTCTGAGCTGAGACTTTACTGGTCAAGCTTTCACCTACGGTAGACTTAGATTTTATGGTTGGGCTATAAACTGTGAAAAGGAACATTTAGACTAGAAATGATGAGAGTCCTTAACTTTAGCAGTTCTAGTGGGTGCTGTTAGGATAATTAAGAACAGAGTATAAAGCAGCTGTGCAGAGATGAATCCCATGCAACTATGTAAGTTCTTTGCCTTCCGCACACCCAAGGGAGTCACACATTTAGTATTTTGCAAAGAGATGCATTTTGGGGTATTTTGTTGAGGATTTATTTTGTTCATCATGAAATTGTATGTTTTAAAATTTAACCTCCATGTGACTAAACTAAGGAAACTATTACAGATAATGGAATCTCAGAATATCCCTTTTATCACTAAAAAAGAGTGTCAATCCATAATTTGTGAAATACATGAATGAGTTCTTAATAAATTCCTATTGCATTCAGACTAAATGAATGCTTTAAATAACGCTGTGTGTACCATTTGTTTTAACTGGCAATTGAGGCAAACAGTAATGGAAATCAGAAATGTAAAGTACCTACAATATCAGCTCAGCTAGTCTTATTTCCTGTCACTAGAAGATTGTTTTTGCAGTGTATTTTCCAGGGCTTTTTCCTATCCATTTTAAATGATCCAAGTGATGTAGCTTTCAGCAATTCCTTTGGGAGACTATCCCACAGTCTGAATAGACCTTACTGTCCAGTCATTCCTTCTCCCCGTTTGCCCTATTCATCTTACATTTACCTTTATGAGCAGTTAGCATCATCTTCCTGGAAGACTGAAAAGAAAGGTTTGGCTTCAGACTGATGTGGGCCTCTCACATTTGGAAACTACTGATTGTGAATTGAACTGAAAATTAAATCGCTCTTTTTGTTTTCAATCTAGACGCTCTTTTCCGAAAATGCTTTTAACGGAAAACTTTTCCATTAAAAGCATTTCCAGAAAATCATGCCAGTTTAGATGTAGCCTCTGAGCAAGTTGCTAAGTGACCTTTTAGATCAGGGACGAGACAGACACTTCTCATTCGTGTTTGTTCAGTGCCTCGCACGATGGGCCCCCAATCCTGACTGGCAACGCAGGTGCTTCCATAATAAAATTGGCTAGCTGTAGCAGCCATGCAACAAAGCTGGTGTTACTCTTGTGGAGACTGTCTTTAACTTGCAGATACTATTAAGTTGGTTTTGATGTCCATCTTATGCAGTACACTTTAAAATGTATCTATAAAAAAGGACTATTGGAAAAGAAATTAAACATTTATACCTCATCTTTCCCTCCACAGTATGTCCATTCTTACATCAAAAACTTTACAAGTGATATGTTCCAGGAATTCCTGAAGCACCTCTGGCAGTGTGCTGATGATGTCCGAGATATAATAAGACATGACATGTGGCGGCAAATGTTTGCTGACCTCTTCTTGCATTGTGACCATGGAAAGGTAGGTAAAGAAACAACACATTTGACACTGTCATGTTTCTGATCTGGTATCTCTCATTAATGTAATTGCTTTTTTTTCATACCTCGTCAGTGGCTCCAAGTTCTTTCTTGGTATTGAGTCAGCCTTCTTTTGGAAGAGAGCAGTTGTTACACAGTGAAATGGGCTGAGACTTGTTCTATCATGCAATGAAAAACCCACAGTGCTGAGTCCCCTAGCCCATGTCAATTGATTCAGGCTTGCAGGACATGGGATCCAGAACTAAACAGTGTGGAGTTGATACTCTGTCTGAAGCTGGGCCCTGCACCCAACCCCTTTCACAAGTCTGTTCACCCAAGTTCTGAAGCTCAGTGCAGCAGGTTTGTTACTGCAGTGTAGACAGAGATAAAAAACAGTCAAAATCCTGTGGCTATCTCCATAACCCTGCATGTACCCCCAGTGGCAGAGCTCTGGCTGTGCCCATGGGGCCTGTGCTTCTGGCAGACAGTGTTCAGCCTCAGGCTCACTGTGACCCTCCACACAGCCATACTCATCACAGGCTAGTCCATATGGGGCAAAACCCCTCTACAGTTCTGGTCACCCTACCCAGGGGCTGACTAATGGTATGGGAAGGGTTGGGGGGGGGAGGGGGAATCCAGGCCAACAAACTACTCTGGGTTCCAGCCCAGGGACCCCAAAGCAGTGGCAACAGATGGGGTTTGTTTTACGCCCAGGCTACATCTACATTGCAGGCTTCTTGCGCAAGAACTGTTTTGTGCAAGAATTCTTGTGCAAAAAGTCTTCCACAAGAGCACGGCAACACTGCCATGTGCTTTTGCACACAAGCGTCCATGGCAGTGTGGACACTTTTGCACAAGAAAGCTCTGATGGCCATTTTAGCCATAGGGCTTTCTTGTACAAGAAAGTCACATTGCCTGTCTACATTGCCTTCTTGTGCAAGAGCTCTTGCACAAGAGAACTTATTCCTCTTGGGCTGTGTCTAGACTGGCCAGATTTTCTGGAAAAACTGGCCAGCTGTCTACACTGGCCGCTTGAATTTCCACAAAAGCACTGACTTCCTACTGTAAGAAGTCAGTGCTTCTTGCAGAAATGCTATGCTGCTCCTGTTCGGGCAAAAGTCCCTTTTGCACAAGAGGGCCAGTGTAGACAGCTCAGATTTGTTTTGCACAAAAAAGCCCCAATGGCAATCGGGACTTTTTTGCACAAAAGCCCCTCTAGATTGGCACAGACACTTTTCCACAAAAAGTGCTTTTGCAGAAAAGCATCCATGTCAATCTAGACACTTTTCCAAAAATGCTTTTAACAGAAAACTTTTCCATTAAAAGCATTTCCAGAAAATCATAGACATAGCCTTTCAGAAGAAGTCCTGTTTTCCAACTCTGTACTGTAAATTTACTTGCACAAGAACACATTCAGCATAGACACTCAGCAAGTTCTTGCACAGAAAGCCTGCAGTGTAGATGTAGCCCCAGGCTTTGTTTTGATTTACTGACAACTATTTCCCTGGGAAGCTTCCCAAACAAGCCCTCCCAGTATCTTTCCTCTGGTACCTGAGCATCCTGTCCTGCTCCTCCACAACACTCTGCCTGAGCTGCAGGTCCCAGATCTCTCTCAAACACCTCTCTTTCTCAGAGCTTTTCCTCCTCCTTGCACACCCCTGAACTAACAGTAGAAGAGGAGCCCTTTTAAACCAGTCTTAACTGGTTCTTGATTGGCCCCAGGTGGTCTGAGTAGCCTGACTCCCTTGGCTCTGGAAGGCTCTTAATTGGCTCCAGGTGTTCCAACTGGTCTGATTGTCCAGCCTGCTTCTGCAAAGTTCCTGCTAGTACTAGGTCAGCCCCTGCCAGTTTACCAGGAAACAGAGACCTCCTTAATCTGAGGCTCACATACCTCCCTTCAAGATCTCTGCTGTAGCCCTCTGGCCAGCCCCTGTGACATCACCCTTACCTGTGTTGTGTATTTCGTTCCTCACCCATCAGCTGATGTTCACTGCAAGACTGCCAGCAAGGAGTGGACTGCCCTGTAATGTCATTCTAGGGAGGTCATTGCCTCTAAGAAATAGAATCACACAGCACATGCTAGCCACAACCGTGTGCTTAGAGAATTAGAATGGCAAGGTGGACGAGGTAATAGCTTTTATTAGACCAGCTTCTGTTGAAAGATAGTACCTCCCCTACCTTGTCTCACTAATATCTTGGGACTGATATGGCTACAAATACACTGTTTTAGAGAACGATAGGCAAGCTGTTTGCTCAGTTGAGGGGCACGGGGAAAAAGGGATGTGTCTCTGTTTCATCCAGAAAATATTTAAATTCCTAGTCTCAGGAAGATCAAAAGGGCATCTTCCTCGAGAGAGGGGAACACGGTCAGTATTATTTCTCCGCATTTTGAAGGAGTCCCTTCTCCTCTCATTCTTTGCTGGCTGAGTCTGACAAAGTACTGCACGTACAAGCACAGACGTATGTGAGAAGAGATGGTATCAGACATTTTCCATTGTCGTCTAGTAATCGCCATCCCTCTGCCTCTGATAAACAATGACCTCAGCGAAGACTCATTAATGCTAGAATCAAATGAGGGACAGCACCCAGCACCCTCCATCTTTGGAGGGAGAACAAGAATCACAGTTGAAACATGGCCACTCTTGGTATCAGTTTAGGCAGACTTGCTCACCAGCTTACAAATGGCATTAGTGCCCTTCTTTTGGGTCTGACATGGTTGCCCTCAGAGAGCGCTAATCAGTCTGTGCTGTGCTGTCTCACAGGGGGAGCAGAGGTGCAAGCTAATCCATAAAGACCTCTGACTTGTTGAGTGTGATCTATCACCTGTGGTCGTCATTTTGTGAAGCACAGCAAGCTAGTTTCCTAATTTGCAGTTGTTTGGTGGCAGGTAATTATTCCCCTTTTGCAGGGGTGAGTGGTATTCTCTGTCTCAGTTGTTTACTAATAGGGCCATTAATGAATACAAAACTGAGACAGGAGTATCTAAGGTACAGTCTGATTACAAGGAATCTTCACAATCATGATTATGGTTTCAAAAATGCACATATGTGAGGATGTCAGCTCAGCCAGAACTTCCTGGAATATCTAGGCTGCCTACTCAATCACTCCCCAAAACAATGCCAGAATAACATGTAAAACTCTACTCTAATCCCACAAAGGAAAAGACACTTTGGATTTAATGCTTCTGTCCTCACTGTGCCTAGATGTGTTCCATTTGACATTACAACTATATCGACATTAATTTTCAGGGCATTTTCTGCCCAGGATCTTAAAAAGTAACTGATTATAGTGAGAGATTATTTTTGAAAACAAGGCACGAGTAGCACATTATCTGATACCTCTCCAGACAGAAAAAGAACAAAGATTTCCTTACCCGTAGCCATCATGGCAATACTGCCCTGGGCAGCATCAAGGGAATTTGGTTGTCATGGTGTGCACATCTCCTACACACAGTGCAGAATATTTTAAATGTAACGGATCAGAAGGTGCTGACTCGCATGGCTTGGGGATATGACAGTGGGCTATAGATCCTTTGCTGGAAGGACTCAGGATTGTCACTATGTGTTGGAGGGTGAAATGAATTAGGGTGTCTCAGTCTAATTCTGATAAAAAAACACCACTGCAGCTGGCACTAATTGGCCTCTTTGTTATCAATCTCAGTAGGGAAGCCAAGAGCTGAACGAGCCATGAAGTCTGAACTAGCTCTTTTCCGTGCTAGGGGTAGTCCCACTAGGTCAAGTGAAGGCATATTTTGTGGGGCAGTACACGAACAGCTACCTTCTGCTATTTATGGCGTGCTGAACCTTCTCTGCAGATCTATGAAGGGCTCAGTCTTCCAGGATGGTAGGCTGAAATCTTTCATCACCCCAAATTCATACACCAGGCTTATGAAACATAATTTTCAGGGAACAGTGTTGCAAGGATATTGAAGACCCCATTACATTGGGTTGTGAGTAGCATCAACATGATTTTCCTGGTATAATAACCCACTCCCCATCCTTTCTCCCAGCCTTGTACTATCGTAATCCCCAAACGGAATTGTAAGGGCTCCTCGTCCCGTGATAGCATGTGACTGGTGATGCTCTGACAAAGCCATAGGAGTCCAAGAGCTTACATCAAATTTAAAACAAAACAGGAATCCATCCACAATGCATGTCCAGGAATTTCTTTCCACACTTAAATATCATGTGCTTTTACTGGTTTTCATATTTCAAAAAGCACATTTATTCCCAGTAGGACCAAACTTGTTCTCCATGTCTTTGTATTTGTCTCCAAAATTTAGTTTTTTCCTTGGCAAAAAGCATCTGTAACCATGAACATCATCTTTATTTTCTCTCAAACAAATTACTTCATTCATTTTAGTTGCTTTTTGGAGAAAATGAAAGTTTGCATTAGTCCTGACAACTGTCAGAGAAACTTTCTAGTGATTGTGATGGGCAGAGACTCTCAGGGGAAAATAAGAGGGTGTAATGGGAATATTCAATTGAGTATCAACGCGTTCCTCTGGTGATATGGTAATATCTTCAAAAATAGGCGTGTTTGGGTTGATGCTAAGGAGGTGCAGATCTGGGATGTTAAATATAAAAGCACACTGTGTAAAAAGCATGCTCCTTTCTTGGGTACCAAGGGAATTGTACTCTAATGTCAAGAAGAATAAGGGACTTGGAAACAAACGGTTAATATGCTAAGTCTCAGAGAGAGAATTATGTGACTACATTTGTCCCAATGGCATGTGCAGCTGAAATACAGCTGGAAGTCCCTGCACTTCTGCCCAGCCTGAACTGAGTTACAGGAGGCTGATCATTTAAAACCACGTTCCGTCTCCTCTTTATGGCTCTTGAAGAACTTGTGTCCCCCTCACTGACAGATGGGGTTTGTTGAGGTCTCCTTGGCCACCGTTTCCCCTCATAGCTGCCCAGGGTGGTGCCTCCAACCTAGCAGCGTCGGAATCCTGAGATTGCTTTACTTTTTTTAAATCACAGTTTCCTAATGGGAAATTACCAATTGCCTCATCTTTTCCCTGCCTTTACTATCCATTTCCCCTGTCTCCAAACAGCAAGGGTGTTAATGCTACCCAGAATGTCAGAGAGCACTGAGGCCTGCTTCCCCCTGGCTCCCAAAGGTCAAGCTCCTCACTTCCAGGATGTGTCTCTGCAAGGCCTGCATGAGGCACAAGTCTATTCAAGACAAGCAGCCGTTCTTATGAGTAGGAGCAACCTTTCTAGCAAGCTTCAAAATAGGCGACCATGTACACAGAACCATTGTAGGTAATTTGAATGCTGGTCTCTTTCCAGGACCTCACCAGGAAACTGCTCTTTTGCTTGCTAGAGCATCAGAGCTCTTTGTGACATCAGCTATCAAGAATATGTGTGCCTTCTAACAGGAACATAGGGGTTTGTCACTGTGATGGTGTGTTGGGGTTTTCCCGTCTCCTGCACCCCCGTAATGGCATGGACAGACTCCACCAGCCAATAGAATAGAGGGAGTTTATTGCTTCTCCAGGATACAGCACAGCACAGATGTAATCTGGTTACAGGAACTGGGGCTAGGAAGCTTCAGTCCCCCCACCCCCTTGAGATGGGGGGTGGCTGGGCCCGACAAACCCAGCCCCCCTCCCTAGCTCCTTCTCCCTTGCTTCCCAGACAGAAACCTAACTCACTCACTTCTAGCCCTGCCCCCAGCCAGGGCTCCACTCCCCTTCTTCCCATTGTTCCGCTCCCTCGAAGATCACTGGTCAGACAAGTTTGAAACCCCCTTGCATAATGACTCATCCCCTGCCCTGCTGGGCCGTGCTGCAGCCAGCAGCTAGTGGAAGTCACTCACAACCTAAGCCTAGCAACCAGCAAGGTACCCACACTACGTCACAGTCACACTCCTTTCTCTGCTAGTAGCCAGTGCCTGACGGTTCAAAGGAAGTGAAGGAGGGACGAAAACCAAACCACTCATACTTAATGCATGTAGCCACTACTGCTGCCCAGTGCTATATCCAGAGGAGAAAATTCCTCGTTTCTCCTCCAGGCAATCATGCTGATCCCTACCTCCAGCAAAATCAAATTGACTTCAGTGGAACCTGGATTTCCCCTTGATGGTACAAGTGGGACATACATCATGTAGGCCTGAATTCACAAAGATGGTTAGGCAACAAACTTCAATTGAAATCAGTGGGAGTTAGACACCTAAATATTTTTGAGGATCTGGGCCATAGGTCTTGTTCTGGCCCACTGCCAAGGAATAAAGCACTTAGGTTTCATAGATCATACAAGATGCGTCTCTGTTAAGTTTTGATTAAAAAAACCCCCTAGAACTAAAGAATCTATCTTGAATCATTGACAATAACTGTTATGCTTAGGCTGGCCTCTTGGACAGGCAGAGGACACTGGCTTTACTGGAAGACTTCTATGACAGCATCCCAATGATTGCTAGGAGGAGATTCTGTAATCCAAGACAATGTAAGTACAAAGCATATTTGGAACATATTTAAACATTCATATTTAACACTTCATGCGAGGTTTTCCAATTATGATACATCTATATAAGTGTTGTCAGCAAAAGATGAAACCTAAAAGCCTCCTAGACCAACACTGCAACATTTATATCACAATTAGAAGTGGCCTAAATCTTTCAACTTTTAGACAAGATTTTATTGCAATATATATATATTTTGCTGTAGAATACTTTATTACGATAAGCAGTAGTCCAAATATGATTACTTTCCCCCAAATAATTGTTTTTTTTAAATCTGGGACGCATTAGATAAATGTTAGCACTACCTGTACTTCTAAACTAACATTTCTCTGTCAGAATAGAAGACTAAAGGGAACAGAGAATATAGAGGATATTCTACCTAAAATTTCTAAAATTACAATGCTTTTTAGATATTGGGAATAAACTGCTTGAGAGAATCTTGCTTAGATGAGAAACAATGGAAATTGTAACATGTACATCATCGCTTCCCTTTTAGTGTGGAAGAACACAAAGATGGCAGTATGGCATGTGGCATAGTAGTCTTCTTGATAGCAAGAAGAATCCTTCTAGAAGTAAAGAAAATGCCCAATTTGCACAAGCTCTATCTCCAAAGCTAAGCTTTGGGTTTCTGAGGTTGCATGTACTGGTAGTACTTACAGGGAATTCTAGGTTCACAAGAAAGTACTTTACTCCAGTTTCTTACTCTTTTGCATTCTACTTCACCTTTAGTTAGCAGTCATAAAACAATGCAGATTATCAGCTGAACAACTGCTTTTCTACGTTAGGGCCAATCATTGAATTGCAAGAGCTAGAGCTTACTGAGTTCTGGGGAGACTTTAATGACGGACAGATAGCTTCCAAGGAACCCAGTGAAGTATTCGTATTGTCTCAAACAGAAGTTTCTGAGGGAGGGACTCTGTCTTCTAAAATGCGAACTGCTAATAGTCCAGGTGCATTTGAAACGTGTATCTTGGAAGATGGACCCAGAGAGCCAGAGGCAGAGCCAGACCAAGTGTTTGCTCTTGAACAGATGAGTGACTCTGGGACCGATGCGGTCAGTAAGGAGGAACCCAGTTTAACGTGCGAGCTTAGTGAGACTGTCCCAGCAATTTCCCTCGGAGAAGAGCAGATTGTCTCGCCCATAGAACCTGGCTCTGAAGTTCAGGGGCCTCAAGAGGAAGAAGATTTGATGACTGATTTGTATGAGACTGTTTCAGCACCAACCCCTGGAGAAGAGAATCCAACCTCAGAGGAGAAACCTGGTCTCTATGTAACTACAGAGACTACAGAGAAGGAAGAAACTGACCCCTCGCCACACTTGGAGGAACCAAACACCTTCTTGGCAATGGAAGCAAGTGATGTTACAGTGAGCCAGGAGGTCTCCAAATCTGACAGTAGAAAGGGATCTACAATCCTTAATAAGGAAACCACTTCCAGAGAGGACATAGACACAGAAAAACAGACTGATACTGCAGATCCAGGGAGCCAGAATGAACATGTTCGGGTAGCAGCTCCGGAGGAAGAGAATGTAACCATAGATAAAGAAAATGGTTCCGAAGAAGGGGTCAGCCAGGAGGAACACAAGGTGGCTACAGAGCCAGGTGAACCCATTCTAGCCCCACACTGTGAAGAAGAGAATCTAATCTTGGAGAAGGAACTTGGTTCAGAAGCACAGGATTGTCAGGGGAAACGGGATGTGACTGCAGAGCCAAGTGAGGCAGTTTCAATACCAATGCCTGAGGCAGAAAGCACAGTCTCAGCAGAGGGAGCTGCTCTGATTCCAGAGTATAAAGAGGAAACTGCAGAGCTTGGGAAAGAACCCCCTGAGGGAAAAGAGAGTGGTTCTGAGGTACATGGCAGTCAATCAGGATTACAAGCAAGCACAGAGACCAACATGCAGGCTGAGGACTCCCCGCCAACCCTTTCCCGGGAGCAAACACTTTTGCAAGACCAGAGTACAGGTAAACCCTTTTCGGATGTGACATTGGAGCTGAGGCTTTGGGTATATGCAAAATTGTACTAGTTTAACCACAGGTGTGATTTAAACTGATGTAAAGCCTGTGCAAGTATATGTATAGCCGCTCTCATTTCAGACTGGGACTCCTTTATTTTGATTTAAAAACCCTGGAGTAAGGTCAATTGAAATAGACACTTTTAAAGCAAATAACAGTGTGTATACACAAAACTGCACTGGTTTAAAAACGTATTAAGTTAAACTGTTGCAAGTTTACGAGTAGACAAGACCTTAGGTTTTTATATTTTCTCAGCATGATGTTTCCAATCAAGATTTTACAGTCTGTTCCACTCAGACAATACCAAGCACTTGCTTGATCTGTGATATGTATTCCAGACACTAAACAGCCATTTGAAAGCAAAATGGTGCTTTTTCAAGCAACACTGCCTTTCTAAGAGAGAGAATCTTCATGTTTCCATTTCCATGACAGAGGGGAATCTGGTAACATTAAATATAGAAATGGGTTTCAATAATTATTAGAAAAATGAAACAAAGAGCCCTAAGGAGATAGATGATAGCATCTGATAGCAAAAGGCATTTATTTTAAAGTGCCTCATTTCTAAAAGGGAGACTGTACTTTTCAGTTATAGATGGCTACAACTGATGAATTCCAGCGCTCCCACTAAGCCATGCTAAACGATTTGTTGAATACTAACACTTGGACAGACTTCCCCACTGACGCTCCACTAGTCAATCCTCTTGTGCTCCACCAGTTCAAGATTGGCAAGGCCTGGCTCTGAGTTGTATGCTGTTCAATGCTGGGTGAAAAATCCCTTATTTCAGGTGGAGGTTGGTTAAAGTGCCCCGTAAATGAGAGTGCAGGACACTGGTTCCTACTGTTGGGTGTCCAGGCCATGGGAGATACTCTGAGAATAGTCTATGTGCATTACTCATACAATGCACTAAGTGTTCACCACACTGTAGAATGAGTACAGAGTACATCTTCCCTTCACTGTGGGAATTGATTCTCCTCTTGATTGGGCAGAGGTATAAGTCTGTTTTCCAGGATTTGCCACGGGAGGGGGTGGGAGTAGGAGGTTAGTGGAGGAGTGTATGCTGCTGTTTAAAATGGCCATTTGAAGCTGTCCTTAAGAAATGTAACACATACCCTGTGAATTTGTATGGGGGGCAATTTAATACATTGAAAATGAATAAGTATATGTAGTAAGGGCACTCCAGTGACACAGGTGTGGTGTGTGAATGGATTTCTGCCTGTAGGGCTGCATGTAGTTCCAGCTTCAAGAACCACTTCCAGTTTATAATCAGTTCCTTTTTAAAATTTCAGGTCTATCTCATCCACCAAGGGAAGCTTCCCAGGCACAAGCTAGAGAGGCATTTGAAAAGGCAGCCCAGCTGATAGATGGGATACCATGGTCAGGTGACTGCAGTTTTCCACACTTTTTGCTTTGCTTTCTAGAGATTGTTTTGCTACAAATGTAATGATTTGTGAATTATGGTTTCACTCTACATAATACGTGTTGTCCCTCTGTCAGGTGACCTTATGGCTTCTGACCTAAGTTTCAGATATAGAAGCTATGGTGAGAAAATTCAGGAGGACTGGAACGATGAAAATTCCAGATTTGCCGGTAAGTGATCACAGTGCTGGATGTGAACTGTGGCCCTCGTGTGGGAGGCACTGAAATCAGGGCACTGCTGTGAAACTTCTGGCTTGTGCCAGAGTCCAGGGCCTCAGTTGGAGGTCAGGCTCAGGCTCAGGTGTTGTTGAGGTTTGGGATCAGTCCTAGTACTGCTGGCCAAGGGTAGGAACAGAGCTAAGAGTCAAGGAGCAAAGCCAGGTCCATAGCTGGAGTGGGAGTCCCATTACCAAAGGGAGGGATGAAAGCTGGTAGCAGAATCCAAGTGCAGGGGTTAGACTCAGAGTTGGAGCTCAAAGGTGGATGCTGAGTTCCAAGACGAGGTCGGGAGTCTGGGAGTAGCCAAGAGACTGGTCTGTTGCTAGAGCTGGCAGGGGAGGCTGCCTCATTGGTCCTGCCTTGAGGGCGGGGGGCTGGACTCGATGACCTCTTGAGGTCCCTTCCAGTCCTATTATTCTATTATTCTATGATTCTATGATTGCACGGATGCTTCCTAGGCCTCTGCCTGGCCTTTCATGGGGAACAACGGCAAGGGAAGCTGTCATTTTGGCATTCCGAACAGTTTGGTACTTCCTTCAGTGTTTATCGCCGAGGGGGACTCTGTGGTAATGCATGTGGCCTTGCCAGGTAGCTGTGTGGAGGGTGGCATCCATTCCACATCTGCAGAACCTCATGGGTGTTGGCTTGGGTTGGGGGAGAGCTTATCCATTGTCTAAGCAGCTTTTGTTGCTTATTGTGAGCCTCTGGTCTCCAAGACTGGTATGATTTTCTGGAAATGCTTTTAACGGAAAAGTTTTCCGTTAAAAGCATTTTTGGAAAAGCGCATCTAGATTGGCAGGACGCTTTTCCGCAAAAGCACTTTTTGCGGAAAAGTGTCCATGGCCAATCTAGACGTGCTTTTCCGCAAAAAAGCCCCGATCGCCATTTTTGCAATCAGGGCTTTTTTGCGGAAAACGAAAACAAATCTCTGCTGTCTACACTGGCCCTTTTGCGCAAAAGTTTTTCGGAAAAAGACTTTTGCCCGAACGGGAGCAGCATAGTATTTCCGCAAAAGCACTGACAATCTTACATGACATTGTCAGTGCTTTTGCGGAAATTCAAGCGGCCAGTGTAGACAACTGGCAAGTTTTTCTGCAAAAGCAGTCGCTTTTCCGGAAAAAGTGGCCAGTCTAGACACAGCCCAGGGGTATTTGGACTGTGTGTCAGGAGCAGACCCTTGGTGGTATAACAGTGACTTATGCTAAAGCTGCATTGTGTAACTTCACCTTAGTACATGATATCTTTTGCCTTAAATTGCTGCTCATCTGTAAAGAAATAGTACTGGTGTTTTGCTTCATAAGCATACATAAGGCCATGGCCTGAAGCCCTTACTCAGTGTTTACTCAGTCCATATTCAGTCACCCTCCACTGAATCAGGACTTCAGGGCTTGGCTCAGGATTTCACACCTGTCACTTGCACAGCTCTGGATCAGCATCTGGCGTGGTGCTGGGTGATGTGTTTTCTCTCCTCTAGACTTGCGCATGAGCATAGGAGCTATTCAGACCCAGCGTGCCTCCGGTGCCAGGAGTGCCTTTGACAAGAGCTGCCTCACCCTGCCGCAGTTCGTACAGCTCATGGAGACCTTTGCTGGCGAAGGCAGCTCTCTGCCAACCATGAAGAAACTTGTTGCGTTTGTGAAAGAAGGTTACGTTCAGACTGAGGAGGAAAAAATCAAACAGTTGGAAAAAGTAAATGCAGTCAGGCTTTGATGATGTTAAGTGTGAACACACAAATGGCTAGAGAGGCAGAGCTAAGCACCCACACTCTCCGGTCCTTTTGTTGAGCTTTTTTGTCCCTCTGTTTTCCATGAGCTTTCCCCACATTAGCCCTGGGAATAATGCTGGGCTAAATCTGCCACAGGTTGGTTGCCTGTAACCGAGCCTGACTCTGTAAGGCACCAGGTGTGCAGCCACCTGTAAAATCGCTTAAGATGTTCTGTTCTTTTACCTCTAGAGAATACCATAAGATTTCAACTCTTGCATTTGCCTGTATTCATACGTGTGTGCATGTGGGAGGCTGGCCAAAGTGAGCATGTGCAGCGGTGTGTTTGTCACACCCACTGGGAGTTCAGTAACCTTGTCAGCAGTTGGATAAATACATTCACTCACACACAAGCCCAATCCGCCCAGTATCTCCACAAAGTGCTGATACATTTCTCATCATGTCTGCCCCTTTAGCTGCAGTTTTCCAGATTGCTTTCTCATTTCCCTCTGTGCTGCTGACCTAATTTGGGTGAGATATTGGATCTGACAGCTCTGCCATCCTTATGCGGAGCACTACGTTCTTTGCTGATCTTCTGTCCTTTCAATGAATTCCATTTCCAGCTGTTTAGCATCTGGTGCTGTGCAAAAGCTGGCTTTAATCAGCAAGTAGCCCATGCAGCCCCATAGGGCCCTGCACAGTGAAAGGTACTATCAGTATCAACAGTGTACAAACTCAAACAGAAAGAACAAACACTGCAAAATACTGTGGTGTCATTTACAAGGAGTCACTTGGTTGTGGCAGGAAAGACGAATCTGGAGTGTGGAATTGCCACCTACCACAGCTGTCTTGCCTTGGCTTTTGGCAGGTACAATGGGGCTCAGTCCCTTTGAGAAACTAACTCTCAGGCTACGTCTACACAGCTTCCCTCTTCCGCAAAAGCCTAGTCATGCCTTTTTGTGCAAAACCCCTCTCCATCTACACAGCGCCTTTTTGCACAAAAAACCCCTCTTGTGCAAGAGCCATTCTTCCTCATTTTTTCAGGAAGAACGACTCTTGCGCAAGAGGGGTTTTGCACAAAAAGGCATGACTAGGCTTTTGCGGAAGAGGGAAGCTGTGTAGACGTAGCCTCAGTCTGCAAGCTAAAAGTGAGCTGCCGTTTACTGCCATAGGACTGCCATCTACTTCAGATCTTAATGGTAATTTTACCCTGACTTCCGGGATGACAGGCTTTCTGTGACTATCACGAGTTGTCAAATGTCCAAGTAATAAACCAGCCATAGCAATTCCCTTCCGGCTGTGGGCGCTATGCATTGTCAGTCTTTCCTTACCGCTTGCCTGTCTCTCTTGCTTCTTCCCTGCCCTAGGTTCATAGTGAGGCTCTCTTGGCCCGAAGGAAATTGCTCCTGGAGGCACTCTTTCAGAAGTGGGACAACGAGTGCTCCGGGTACCTTGACGTGAAAGAGGTGGATGCTGTTCTTGACACATTTAAGGAAGGAATGGAAAAGGAGGCTCTGAAAAAGGGTAAGAAAACAGCACTTTCCACCACTAGTTTGGAGCTGTGCAGTCAGTAAAAAGGCCGTGCAATGTGCTGAGTCACTAGCCGTTCACAGATAGTGCTAATGAAGGCGGGGCAAAGACTGTGTCTTACTGACTTTGCACATGCCACCATAAACAGAAGGAGCAGTCGATGAAGTGGAGACAGAGGGGTGTGTCTACAGAGAGCAGCCAGGGCCCTTTCTTTTCAGTTATCCAGGCCGGAGAGTTGGGGTTCCTTTGTGCTGCTGTCACGGTGCAGTGAAATGCTGCAAAGGTCCCTGTGATACTGAGCAGTACATGACTGTGGTTTGGATGTGAAAACCCAAGCCCATAGAGAACCCCAATGGGGGAGCATGTGACATTCTGGGTCCGACTTGCCTTCTGTTGTGCACAGCTGCACCTCAGCCCACCTCTGGAATGGTACTGTCCACGCTCCCTGCGGGCCTTGAATGGCCTCTCAGAGTCCCCTCAAGGAGTTCAGCTCCTGTGACCCAGAGATTCGGAGTTGTGGTGGGTGTGGGGTTTTTAACAGCTACGGTCAGCTCATTTCTCTGACTGAACCACCTTGGGCCCTGTTAAACAGGCCGGATCGGACAAACCTTCAGCAGGCGGCAGAATGCATCTGGCAGCTCGGTGGATACGCTGCTGAGCTCCAGTACTACCAAGCACCATGTGGCGGGGGCTTTGGGTACCAGGTAGACTAGTCGGCCACCATGGACAGCCGCCTTCCCACGCTTCCTCCTGGAATGCTGCGCGTTACATTTGTCCTGGCTACGCACTGCTGACAAAAATGATTCAATACGGCTTCTTTTGGCAACCTTCCCAAATCCCCTTGCTCCCCACCTCACGTCCAACTCGCTGTGAGAAGCCCTCTCATGTCTCAGTCAACTGCATCCCTGCCCTATGGCAAAGTGCCAGCACTGAGGTCTTAGGGACACATGTTGTAGGGTAGCCTATTGCAGTGGATTTAACACTGCCATGTGAAAGTGACCCTGCCCTGGAGCATTCACGCCATCCCAGCTTCACTTGCCTGCAGGGCTATAAACTACGGCTATTCATGAGCCAGTAGCCCCAAACTCAGGCAGGGTGCAGCACAGAAAATAGGGAGGTGCAGTCCCTGCTTTGCGAAGCTTTTACCATGGGTGGAAGGAAAAGGGACACAACAGAGAAGCAATATCAAACTGTCCCCAGCTGCCTCTGGCTAATCTTCCATTGACATCGGGTACAAGATGGCCGTGGCTTTGCTGACCAGCTCCAGATCTGCATTGCATTCAGTGTGGAAGAAAGCCCAGGGACGGAGGGTCTCCCACGGCCGTCTGAAGTGTGGCTGCAGCACGGACAGAGGGTATGTCTACACAGCAAAGTTATTTTGGAATCACTTCGTTAGCATCTACACAAGCCAACCACTATTTTGAAATTAATTCGAAATAACAGAGGGCTTATTTTGAACTTGGTAACCCTCATTCCACGAGGAATAGCGCCTATTTCAAAATAAGTGCTGTATAGACACTTATTTTGAAATAGGGGGCTCCAGCCCTTCCCAGGGTGCCCTGGTGGCCACTCTGGCCACAACCAGGAAAACTCCCCCACAGGGCCTGTGACAGCTCCAGGCCTGCCAGACCAGAGCCAGCAGTTGCTGCCCCTGATCCAGTTGCCTCAACATGAGCGAGGCAGCCAGTGCCAGCCAGCCCTCCACCGCTCCCCAGTAGCAGTCTGCAAGCTCCCAGGAGCCTGCCAGGGGCTGGAGAAGGCGGGCACTTCCTGGTCCAGTGCGGAGATCATGGACCTGATTGATGTTTGGGGGGAATCCTCCAACATCCATGATCTCTGCTCTAGACGGAGGAACATGGCCATCTACAGGCAGATGGCTGCCAGCCTGGCCACAAAGGCCACATGCGAAGCCAGGAGCATGTGCGCATGAAAATCAAGGAGCTGCGGCAGGCCTATGCCAGGGCCACAGGGGACAGCTCCCAACCACAGGAAGACCCAGACCCCTGCCCCTATTTTGATGCCCTAGACCGCATCCTAGAGGGCTGGATGGTCTGTGCCCCCAGATGGTCATTGACCCTGGGGCAGAGGGCCCTGGCCATGAGACCGAGGAGGAGGAGGAGGACCCTGGAGGGAGCGTTCCATGCACCCAGGATGTCTGAGCCGTCCCAGCGAGCCTGTCACCGGTGTCATCCGAGGCCGGGGAGGCAACGACATGTGAGTGCCATCACTGTCCCCTTATGCGGCGGGGGGGAGAGCAGGAGAGGGAGACCATGGATCACGCAGCAACCTGTACATGTGCCGTGCCACCCCTGGGCACGTGGCCCCAGCTGGCTGCCACACAGGGGCCTTGGCCTGTTACCCACACACGTGTATGTATGAAGGCACATGACATACTCCTGACCCTGGGGTGGGACACTGCATGATTCCCTCCCTCCACAAGCCCCCTCTACATGGAGGCAGGGGACATCTCCCCCCCTCCCTCCCCGCCCCAGCACTATATACAGCACAGGGGCATGGGTGCAGTCCCAGGCCAGCTCCCACTCCTGGGGATAGCAGGACATACCAAACATGACTTGCGTGCAGGCACGTTGGCTCCAATGGTGCAGAGACCTGCCGTCCTCACCTTGCAGAGGGGGGCTGGGATTCACTTGCTGTGTCCCCCAGGATAACTGACCACTTCTCTGATTTCTCCACAGCCGCAGCAGCTGCGAGTGCAGGGCGCACCACCCCACCCAGGAAATCCTCCAGCACCCAGGCCAGCAGGCTGACCCGTAACCAGGAGGAGTACCAGCGGCAGCACCTGGGGATCCTGCAAGGCCAGCACCGCATCCTGGACTACTGGGTGCATGAAGACCTGCAGCTGTGGCAGGAGAGCTGGTGGGAGCTGTTTGCCCAGGGCCGTGTCATCTCCAACCACCTGTAGACCCTGGTGCAGAGATTGCTGCCTCCTGCCACTCCAGCTCCTGCAGCCGCCCAGCTACCGCTCCTCCTCCCACTCCTGCTCCCCCTCCTGCTTCTTCCTCCCCCTGCTCTCTACCCACCTCACCCTCCATACCCTCTCCCCCCCAGGGACGCTGAGGACCCCGCACCCGCAGTGCTGGGAGACAGGTGGACCAGCAAGACCCCCAACCCTGAGCTTCTCCTCCCCCTTCCTCCCCTTGCCTCCCCCTTCCAGCTCCCTCCTCCCAGGTTTACCCCTCCCCTCTCCCACCGTCTCGCCTCCCCTCTCCCGCCCTCATTTCCCCCACCCCAGTTTTGTTCAATAAAGAGAGTTTGTTTTTGTCAACACATGTGTCTCTATTTACATGAGTAAGGGGGAGTTAGGGAGGGGTCAGTGAAAGGATGTGAGGGTGAAATGAGGCACAAGCCCCCAGTGTGGCACACCAGGGAGACTTTAGTCCTCCTCTGGGTGGAAGCTCTCCCGCAGGGCCTCCCAGATACGGACAGCCCCCCAATAGCCCCCCTGCTGGCAGCCGTGTGGGGCTGCATGTACAGGCCAGCCAAGTGGTTGGCTTCTGCCATCTAGCCTGGCAGGAAAGCCTCTCCCTTCCTCTTGCACAAATTATGCAGCACACAACACGCTGCCACCACGTGCGGAACATTCCGCTCAGAGAGGTCCGGGAGGGTGAGGAGGCATGTAAAATGGGCCTTCAACGGGCCCTGCTGAGCTTGGCACCTGGGGCGGCCTGTGAGCCTAGGCAAACTAGGCAGTTGCCTGGGGTGCCACTGGCCCTGGTGCCCCGTGATGACATCACGACCATTGACAGCCATGCAGGCAGGGGTGCCGATCGCGCCTTCCTCCTTGGGCACCAGCTGCCACAGCCGGCCTTAGGCCGCTCCTGCTTGGCACTAAAGGCTTGTCAGGAAGGGTTGAAATGTCCCATGTAGGGCTTCAGAAGCCAGGTTTGTAGGGGATAGGCCACATCCCCCACCAGGGACACAGGCATGTCCACATCTCCGACCCTGATGTGACAGTTGGTGAAGAAAGTCCCAGTGTGCAGCCTTTGGCACACGGAGGAGTTGTGGTAAACCCGCGCGTTGTGTGCTTTGCTGGACCAGCCCATGTTAATGTTGCCGAATTGGTTCCCCATGGATCGGTAGCTATCCTGTGTGGAGAGCTTCCAGAGGGTGATGGCCACATGCTTCTGGAGGGGAACAGCAGGCCTCATGTGCATGTCCCATCGCTGCAGAGCAGGGGCGAGCCACTCACATAGCTTCATGAAGGTGTCCTTCTTCATCCTAAAGTTCTAGGTCTGTTGTTGGTCTCCCTAGCGTTCCAGGATGATGTGGTTTCACCAGTTGCTGCTGTAGGGCACACTGACATCCAGGAGCTGCAGCTGCTCCTTCATGTACCCCAGGAGGGTCCGGATGATGGTGTGGGGGTTGGGCTGCAGCAGATGCTGTGAGGCAGCCTACAGAAAGCACAGCCGGGCTTGCAGCAACACAACCAAAAGAAGCACCAGAGTGCCCAGGGGCAGCTCCAGCTCCATGGTGCAGAGTGCTGTGGTGTCCCAAGTGAGGGCAACCAGAGCATACAGAGAAAAAAATGCTTTGCTGTCCCTCAGTAAGGTAAGCTGAGAACCGGCTGTCCAGGGGGGTCCCTTTAAGCACAGGCCTCAGATAGCCTCAGGCAGCAGCCACACAAAGTGACTCCTGACCTGATGCCCTGCTGGAACCTGGTTCTGGCCGGCCTTAAATGCGATTCAGCGTCCTCTCAGTGTGGACGTGCTATTTCGAAATAGCCAAATGCTATTTCGAAATGCATTTTGTGTATAGACACGTTATGTCGAAATAACTATTTTGAAATAAGATATTTCGAAATAATGCTGTAGTGTAGAAGTACCCAGACACACCTGGGCTAGCTTCACCCACTTAAACAAGGCGAGCAGTGTAGATGCAGCAGCAGGACTTGAACAGGGGCTACCAATGTTAGTATAAAACTGGGGTCCCCAATAGGCTTGTACAGACCGCCGTGATGTCCATGCATCTCATCG